AACTAATTTTAGCATGAAAAATTTATTTATGAGTGTAACATCATAAATGTTGTCAAATTCACTTTAATCCTTTCAAAAAAAAATCTAGAGAAGTCTCATGAAAACTTACAATGAGTCAATTGCCAGTTTATTCTCTCATGTTGTTTATTATATTTTCCTCCGATCCAAAGAAAAATTTTCTTGGTGGATCAAATCGACATTATATTATTATGGTAGTTGGACATACTTCAACTCTACTCAAAAGTTTAATCTAGCAATTATTGGCTAATACCGATATATAAAAGCAACCACTCACATATTCTAAATTTAAGAGTACCAACACAAAACTCTAATGAAGATAGGATGATGATGGTGGTGAAGCCTAATGTTCCAGAGCTGGTTTTATTTACCCTTGCACTTCCACTATTTGGAAACTAAATCTCACCTTATTATAAGTTCATTTAAGAATCATACTCGCGAATCATTACAACAAACTAAATGATTCTAGGATTTGGAAATTCACCAAGGATTTCACGAATCATGGAACTACACAATGCCGAAAACCAAGAAAAACATAATGTTAGATTTCATTTCTTTCCAATCTTTCTTGATCAATGTGTAACACCGAGGTTTAATCTCATATCGGTAATGAATAAATGTTTGAATTGAGTATTTATCGTTATCCTAATGTTAGATTAAGTTTAAATATTTTCGGGAATGATTCAGACTTAACAAAGTAAGCAGATCAATTATCTCATCATCGATGATATACTAATTAGCTTTATTGTGACTTTACTATAGCTTTGTGAAGTCCATCGATGCATGGATCACGAGAGAGCATAAAATAAGTGCTTCATTGATGGCTACAGTTCTCTATCACCTATCACAATTGAACATGTTTATACAAGTGTTTAAGAGTCTTGCAATGACCTAAACCTAATCATATTTCTACTCTCCAATCTCCATGAGTTCATGTGCATGACGTAGTAAGGAAAGTTATAGCTGCTAACAAAGCATGTTTAAAGTGAACAACTCCAAGACTTCCAATCATGATTTGCATACTGTATGACCTAATTATAGTTTACATCAAGACTGGTACAAGCACAAGCAACTCTGCACTTTAAAGGACCTAATTGTAGTTTGTCTCATAAGAAGAAGAAGAAGAAGAGTTACGAAGAGACTGTGGGAAGTCCATTGTGACATATGCTTTTAATTAGCATGAGTTCCATGACAACATGCATGAGCAAATATGCCTGGAACCGAACAAGATTAATTTTAGGTCGGATGTGGATGGAGAGGTCCACATTTACATCATTCTATGCCCATTAACACCTTTTAGTGTATTTAATTTGGAAAGAGTTGATCAAGATATTGCTGTTTAATCTCATATCACCTTCTGACGGCAGAGGGCTTTGCTTTGCCTAATCTTTAAGAGAGAGAGAGAGAGAGAGAGAGAGAGGAACCTGAACCCGACTATGATGCATCACTGGCTCCTGGAGATAGGATGTCTCACTGACCTAACTTTGGCCTTTGGATCAAAGCAAATTATGGATTGTGAAATGAACATAGCTAATGCATCAAATGCGTTCCTTGTCATCACCATATATGCTGCAAACGTTTTATCCTTGTAGTTCTTCTTTACTGATTCTAGCATTGCATCATCTCATGGTCTCCTTGATCAATCGATTCTAACAGACCAGAGAGGCACATATGCATTTTTAATGTGTTGGTGCAATCGTCTCATAAAGAAGTTACGAGTGAGATGAGATGATGGTTAGGTCAGATATAAAGCTCGCATCCAACACAGCAATGGAAAACTAGAAATAGAAGAGGGACAAGAAGTCGATGGAACATATAATTCTTTGTCCACCACATCAAACTCCCGTGATATTGGACGCACAAGAGATCACTATCCGAGTCCTAACTAATAAAGTATAAACAATCTCCATTGAGACCTTATCATTCAAGAGCAATTGGAGCTAAGTGTCAAATATGTTAAGCATGACAATGCTAATTAACAAAACTTAGAGCATGATTCTCATGCATTGTTAATTTTTGGATGATATCAGTCTCTTTGAGTATGATTTGAAGTACTAATTGGATGGTTGTTATGGTATTTGTGGTAGTAGCTATGGACGATAATACAATCTCATGAAGTGATTCAGCTAGCCTCACATAATTAGTGATTCGCTTGACGATACGAGATCAAAACACTGGTCAAATTGGAAGATGATAATTAAGCATGATTTATGAGAAATTCACCAATGATGTTCATGTCTTGTATATGTCTCGCTTATATATATTCTAGTTCATGTATATGGAAGGATTTTTTCCAAAAAAATCTGTATAAATGTATTTATAAATCTAAATAAAGCCAATATCATAAAATTAATAATATTTCTATTTTAATTTTCAGACATCATTTAGACACATCAAAACCTATCTAGGAGTGGTCGATTGCCATGGAGATGGACAAACAATGTACTGATATAACTAAAGTTCGAACCTTGATCTGATTTTTGAGCAAGAGATCTGGAGCATATTGGACGGGTCTTTTGGATTCTCAATAGAATCTTAAATATCGGCATAATTGTGTTTTAGCTATGGAGATGTGGTTTGTTTGGACTCATATAACAACATAGGAGTTCCTATTTCTCATTCAATTGTCAAATCGCTGATCCCTACATCTCAAAAAATGATTCAACCCACATACCTATCAAGATCTTCTTTGAGCTAACTCAACAATTGTTACGCAAATGATTATTTCATTCCTTCCACAACTTGCATCATAGACAACTATACAAAACCTTATAACTCATCAATTGTAGCACGTGATTGCTGTATCATAGTGGACATGTCTCGTCTTTGCATGTCTCATATATTCAATGCTCTCTACATGTGTTTCAAGTCGGTATGTCTTCATCACATCTCTTGCAAGTGATCCCCTTTATACAAGTAGTTCAAGCTAGTATATCCTGACGCCCTCATATGTCTTTTGTATTCAATATATCTCTATATGAGCAGTTCAAGGTAGTTCAATGCTTCTTATATGATTGGTTTAAATTGGTACACCCTGACACCCCTCACACATCTGCTATATCTGACATCTATTGCATGAGTGATGAAGTCAACGCCTCTAGTTATCCTCGCGAGTCTCCTATGTCAATGCTTTCTATGTTAGCCAATACCTCTAGTTATCCTCATGAGTCTCCTATGTCAAATGCCTTCTATGTTAGTGATTCAAGTTCACATGCTTCAATGCCCTCACTTGTTTCTTGTGTCTGACACCCCATACTTAACAATTCGAATCGACGTACCTTGATACCCTCATACTCCTATATCTAACATCCCATTACTAGATCATTTGAGTTAACATTTTTTTGATGTTATCATATATCTCCTACTTCTCATACCATTGATGAAATAAGCCATTTGGATAAGTTTTTGAAACTATAAAGTATTTTTATGCATTTAAATTATCCTTAATAAGTAAATCGAACAACATGCCCAGCATGATCCACATAGTCTAATATGAACTTCTAAGACAATCCTTAACTAAGTTTTTAGCATAGACCATAGTAATCGAGTTCTTACGATAGATCATAGCACTAACATGAATAAATCTTCTTAAAATGTAATGATGTTATATGATTAATATTCTTGAACCAACTGAAACTTGACACATGGACACATAGAGTCTAGAGAACTTACAATATTTACTCGAGTTAGATAAAAAATATTTTTTTAAAAATATTTTTATTCTAGGAATGTTTTCTTAGTGCTCAACAAATAAGAATTTTTTTTTCTAATTATGGGCCAAAACTTTATTTTTGAACTGGATTGGTTGTTGGACAAGAGGGATTCGTCTAAAGGGGCATTCATCTCCTTAAAAAAAATAATTTATAAAATATGATGATCTATAAAAAATAAATTAACTCGATTAACTCGAATGTAAATCAATAACCAATTCTGAAATTAACACTTATAAATACTTTTTAAATCAAACGTCTTATACGTTCAAATGAGCAAAGCAATAATTAGAATCATGCATGTTAAATCCCAAAAAGCTTCAAATTTTTTGATAAGGTTGTAAAAGCACAACTTGCCTATTTGATCAATCCATCCTGTCACTTTCATCTTATATATATTTTTTGTGTGTTCTCATCATTTATTTACTCAATACTGTTGACCAAATCTGAAGGCTATATATATATGTTAATTCCCCTAGCATGCCACACTATCTCAAATGAGAATAAATTTTATGATTATGATTTATTTATTTGATTTTTTGAGATGCAAAATAAAACCATGAAATAATCGTGTTATTTACTAGTAAGACCCTACCACTAATGTAAATTAAACGTTATGGATGTGGCATATAACCCATAGTTGGCACTAACATCAACATCATTTCCTCATTAAGGATCCTATCATGGAATGAATATGACATCTAATCCTCAATCAACATTTTAACTCTGTTCAGCGTATTATCGTGCTTTGCATAGTAATTATGACCACATTTAGTCTTTTGCTTCTCATCAGCTCAATTAATTTCTTATGGCAGTGACTAAAAATTAGGATTGGTTTGAAGTTTAATTGTTATTAGGTTCGAATGCAAACTTGGGTTGGATTTTTAGGAATCTACGTAGATAAATACACGAGGCTATAACAATGTGTCACATTGAATCGGATTAAGTCATATATAGATCATCTGTATACATGAAGCCGTGTGCGAAACGATAGTCCAATTCATGTCAAAGGTTGACTTCGTTGTGTTTGACAAAAGAGTTCTTATGATCCATTATTTCCGGGATTGGATTTCCCGACCCAACCCAAATCTAAATTCGGGAAACCCAACCCAATTTGACCCAATAATTGGATCGGGTACTGTGAGTTTGGACTTGATTCGACCAAAAGTCTATTACGGTACCATTGGAGTCTCGGTTCTCTACACGAAAGGATCGGATCCGTTGACCACCGTGTGGACTCATAGTACTGTTGACGGCGTCGTTACCAAAACCCACCGACGGTCATCCGACCCGCACCATTCGCCTCCCATGATCTCATCGTAATCTTCCCCGTCTCCCCATTCCGACCCCTATAAATTGGCCGACGCTTTCCTCTCCTCTTCTCTTCCCACTCTTCCCCGCCCCAGCCTCCGGTAGCTTCCTCCGACCAAATCCTTAATCTCAGTCTAGTTTCTCCGCTCGACCTCTATCGGGTTCGGGCTCCTCTCCAATCCACCTCCGGTTCATCCTGGAATCCTACTCGCCTTCGATATCTTCAAGAATTAGGGCTTGGCCAACCATCTCAAAACCCTAGGATCGCTCTTATCACCCGATCCCTGCTTGGAAGGCCGAGCGTCCTCTTTTTTGGTGCCAGAAGCCCTTATTTTTTTCTCGGCCTGGGCTCCTCGCTCGGAGGCGGGGCTGAGCTCGATCGCCCTGCCGAGGGGCTAGCACCGTCCTGTCAGAACCCATGAACGCCGCCGCCGTCCTCGGCGGAGCCGTTCCGGTGCCCTCTTTTCAGGCAGCCAGAAAGGAGTGGCGTGCCGTCACCGAGCACTCCTTCCGGAGCAGTGGAGTGGAGGTGAGGTCAAATGCGCTTCATTTCTTGATAAACGTATTGCGGTTTGTATATCCACTCAAATCTTTATGTTCGGCAGAAACAAGTGTGTGTTAAATCGGGCCAATCAGCCGAGAGAACAATATATGAGGTATATACTCCGGTATTCTGTTGTCTAGGAGGCAAAATATAGATGTAAATCTATTTTTTGGGAAGGCGCTTTTGGGAATATTATGAAGAAGGTGCTTTTGGGGGCAAAAGATTAATCTTTTTCTCGGGTAACACTTGTTGTGTATAGGTGCAGGAGGGTACAAGCCTGCTGGATGTGGATCCTTGTTCAGTTACTACTGAAGGTGTTGGTGAGTTGAATGATGATATATTGCAGCAGAAGCTGCAAGAAATCACGAGGCAGAGAGAAAGGCTTCAGCAAATGGAGATTGAGCTCCGAGCTAGGGCGATTGCCAGATCAGATATCCTGGAGGTGCAGAATAGTTTTGAAGGACAGCTAAAGGAGCAAATAGATTTCAATGCTAATCTAAAGGTTCGCACATGCTTGGTTTTGTCGGACAATATCAATAAAATATATGCGTGATCAATTTGGGTTCTTGGTGTTTCTTTCATGATTTGTTTGGCTTTGGGAATCATCTGTTATTTGTCTTATATATTGACCACAATTTAAATGCCATCTCGGTGTAAAATGCTCTATGTCTTACACGTAGCTAGCTTAAGTTATTGTCATTGCATAGGATGAATATGCATTTACTCCATTGACCACTTCTGTTCATTATTTCCTTTTAGTTTAATAATTATTTCTTCATGAGAATGTTAGCTTTAAAATGCTTCCAGAGTCCCATCGTACTTTTCTTTTCCCTTTTGTTGTTAATACCACCTTTAGTTCATTGTCTTTGTCGTATTTGTTTGCTGTTCTTGAATTCTTGAAAGGCTAAAGCTGCTATTAAGATGATATCAGTATATCTGATTGGTAGTCTACAAAAGCTTTCAGTTGTTATGGAACTTGATGCTTCATTTTACTTCATTCTAGTTGCATATCAGAGAAATATGCTTGTAATTTAATTGCCAAGTACAAGTGTTTTGGCCCATATATGTGCAAAATGGCATGGATTTTATCGACACAACTTGGTTAATATTTTTAAAATCCAAGTAGTTATATATGATTGCCTCTGTATCTTATGCTAAGCATAAACAAATAATTTGTTCTGATTTGTGTTGAATGATCATTGTCGATTCTTATGTATCTTTCTTCTCGTAATAACTCCACCAAGATCCTAGAACTGATTTATGTGAACTGTTGTGCTTATTATCTGTTAGTTGTACTCCTTGAACAGGAGCAACTACATGAACGGGAGCAACACATACTTGAATTGGAGATGAAACTAGAAGAGAAGGATAGAGAGCTACATGCTATGAAAATTGACACTGAAGAAGTTTGTTTTGGCTCTCTCTCTCTCTCTCTCTCTCCTCTTTTTGAT